TTCAAAAAATTTTTCAAGATTAGTAGGTTGTTATGATGTCATTTTCCTGGCTTCTTGAAATCATTAATAACAAAAACTACATCGATTTATCTCAGTTATTTTAAGAAATACTGTTGTTTTCTGCAGAATATAAACGTCTTCGGCCGAAATATTAAATTAAAGTTATATGGTATAAAATGGCGAATTTGTCATTATCCTGGCTGTCATTTTCCTGGCTTATGAATGCCAGGACATTGAAGTGTTACCAGAAATTCTTTTTAACTGCTAATACTGTAAAGGGGGAAAGCACATATTAACCTAATACCAAGTTTATGTATGATTGTAATATGCTTGGATGTAATCAAAGTTATTTATTTATTTAATGATTGATTATTATACACAATTTTATTCTGTACACATCAGCAACAATTTTTTTTTGTTTCTTTCTACAGTGGATAAAAAAAATTAATTTAAGCAATTTATGGTCAATCTAACATAAAGGCCTAAGTTGAGTTACTTACTATTAACTTAAAATGACTGTTTTTTGAACTTCTAAGGTAATACGTAATTTTCCTGGCATGCAAGATTTGGTGAATTTCTATTTTATGTTTTTTTTCTCGAGCAAATGTCAATAAACTACACTGTAAGATATTAATAAGTGTAGCTAAAGAAGCATACAAAAAAAAATTTTTAGATTATTTTGAAGACTTTAAATTTGAAGAAATGTTTTGTTTCGAATTGTCATGTTTCGTGAGAATCACCCATATGGCAATCGCATGTATTATAAAAATAAATGTAATTTCTTTATTTAAAAATTTAGATTGAGCTTGTGAGCTACGAGTTGTTTTCCTCGACACCTAGAAATTTCTCTTGTTATTGGAGTGACGTGCTGTACCCAACACAAAGATGGCGCCACCTGGGAACATTTGAGGCAAAATCGACGCAGACATTCCACTTGAAAGAGAAAAATTTGGGGAAAAATCATCAAGGTTTGCACTTTTGATTAAATGGAGAGTAAAATTTCTGCACAACTGGTGAATTGCAACAACAGAGCACTTTACTTTGTTTATTAAACGAAAACTTTTTTCTTTGCTATCTGATAGTCAATTTTAGTTCTTCATTTCGAGGTTCTTTCCCTCTTTTCAACAATTTTGTTTGTTTACAAATTTAATCCCCTGTGGCTCACATAACTCATGGCTAGTGAATGCGGCAGATGTATGCAGCTTAAGGTTAAAATAATAGCTGCAGTGACATCCTGTTTTGTTGAAATTATTGAGAAATGCTTAAATCTTATACGACACAGAAAATGAATATATTTTATTACCCATAATGCACACGGATTCCTTTTATTTTTCTCTTTTTATTAAGAAGTAAAATAATTAAGAAATGTTTTTATTAAGAAGTAAAATAATTGAGAAATGTTTTTATTAGGAAGTAAAAAGAAATGTAAGGAAAAGTTATATTTAGATGAGCCATTTGGCGAAAGTTGGCAATTCTGTGGCACCCATTCCGACGCCGTGTCAAATAAAATGGCCCTCTAGACAAAACATAAAAAAAAAATTACAATTGGAACAAAATGCATTCTATATTAAAATAAAATTATAATATAATAAAATAAAATAAATTTGAAAATTTTTAAACGTGAAAGATTAGAATTATTTAGAGGTCTCAGTATGCTTTGCCATAAAGGGAACAACCACAAAGGGAAAATCCCGCTTGAGCCGCCAATTCTCTCTATAAATGGATTCTTAGCACTTTTTTGTGTGTGGCAAAAACGGTAATGTCGCCTGTTAAGTGCACCACCCTTGTTAAAGCCTTCCCACAGCATTAAAGAGCCTCCATCTTGCTCATAAAATGCCTTCTGTACTTGAACATTTTGAAACAATGTTCAAGTATAGGCGGTTGTGATGCCATTTCACATTTCCTAGCTCTTAACATTTCTTCAGTTTCTTAAACTTATTTTTCTAATCATTCTTAACCGAATTTTAATTAAATTAAATAATGGATTAAATTTGCTTAAAATTTGGTTAAGAATGATTAAAAAAATAAGTTTATGAAACTAAAGAAATGTTAAGAGCTAGGCGGTATGACCTGTTGTGTTCTTGTTCAAGCAATATCCGGGTAAATCATCGGAGACAATTTCCTTGCATTTTTCTCATCTACTGTTACAGTTTATCGAGCATACAAACAATTAATAATTAAGCAGGATTTTAAGTTGAAAGCTATCCTCAAGAATAGGAGTGTTAAAAAAGTCAGAATTTGGATGACAGTTTTGTGTGTATGAGGAAAAGGAGGATTACTCCCCATTCTACAGTGAGGCTCATTCACTGTGCGTGAATGGTTCATTTAACCTGGCCTCTCCCACACGTCACCTGGAGATTAAAAGTTAACAAAAAAAAATGCTACAAAATGATATATATTTAAATAGATTTTAAAAAATGAGGGTAGTTTCAATTTTTCAGAAGATACTGTGATGAAAAATCCAAGTTTTTTCACTTTCCCCATACTCGCGCGCGGTCATCTTCAATAAAAAAAAAAGGCATAAAATATTTTTAAAGTTTTTTCCTTCTATTCTCTAAAGTATGGGTGTTACAAAAAATACGTACATTATATTTTTTTACTGAACTGAATGACCGACTTTTTGAGATCAATGTTCGAAGCTTTTCCAGATCTTTGAAATTCAATACATTTTACAAAAAACAATTTCTAATTTTCGACAGGCTATTTCTCGATATGGTCTAAAAAGAGAATTCTATGTCAGAATGATAATTGCAGTAGAGGTAAACAGCTTCTCAGTTTCTTGAGAGGGTGTAATACTTTTTAGAACTTTATTTGCTCCCTAGGTGGCACTAATGTGGATGATTTTTGTCATCTTTCCCGAATTGGGGAGAGTAGGGCATCTTAATTCTATTCATTGCAGAGAACGTAAAAAATGCAGTGAAGAAGATGTTCTTAGAGCCATTTTCACTATTTGCAAAAACATCAGCGGTTGTTTCTCATGTTTACACAGCACTGAATGATGTCTGAAATTTTGTTCCTTATTCTCTAAGCAATGGTTATAAAAACACGATCTAGTTTTGTTATATGAACCTTTGTTCAGCCTTGATGATCCACAAATTCATAAAAGGTCCTGCTGTTATAAATTCAACATTGTCGATCCAGCAGTGGACTGATCGTTAAGACACGGTTCCCAGCAGATCACCGAAGTCAAGCATCAGTGGCTGTGTGCGGGTGGGTGAGCACTTGGACCATTCTGCGTAGGGACCGAGGGTGTGCGGTATGGGTTCTCGTTAAACTGTTCTACCGTAAAGTGCTCGAATTAGCGTGCAGGTAGTCGGGATACCGAAGCANATGCTGCTCCTCTCACTGTGGGTGAGCACTCGGACCATTCTGCGTAGGGACCGAGGGTGTGCGGTATGGGTTCTCGGTAAACTGTTCTACCGTAAAGTGCTCGAATTAGCGTGCAGGTAGTCGGGATACCGAAGCAGGATTAGTCATTTTAAACCCAATCCAGAAGACAAGAGAACTCCTGGATCTAGCAATGGGACAATTTTACCTCTGTAGCGGACTTTTGATGCGACTAACTCGCATTTGCGTTACATGGAGAGCGCGAGAACTGACAGAAAAAGGATTTTAACCCATGATCCATCTACCTCTGAGGATATTTCACGTCAGCAGTGGGTACGGATTCGCTTCGACCAGCCATCGCTGGGGATTTGAACCCGGTTAACCTCATTTAAAGGCTCTATTCCCTGAGTATTATTGACTTCATTAATAGCATTTTTTCCATTAATTTTGCTTTTTAATACATAAATTGGACATACAATTAATATTTTTTTAAAAAGGTAGTGATATCTTCCTATCACGGAAAAGAACATTTCTGTGTTTTGAGTGTCTTCAGAGTTTTAGGCTATTCCATGATATATGAATTTGACATAGATGAACATTATGAAAACGATCCTAGAAAAAGTAAGTCATTCTTTACCTCCCCACCCCATAAACAAATATATCTGTTCAAGAAATGAATGTTTGATTATTTTTATTCTTTCAGGCGTGGTATATAGAGAAAATGAGGACGAATCTGAGGCGAAGTACAACAGGTAAAAGAATGCGGAATAAGCTCATAAATGCGGAATATCCGTCTTGTGAAGAACAAGCGTATGAATGCAAAATAAGAGAATGAATGTGGAATAGGATGAATGAATGGGAAATAGGAGCACAATAAAGTATAATGTGGAATAAGCGTATAACAAGAAACAGTGTATAAAAGTGGAAAAAGCGAATGACTGTGACACCGGAGTATTATAGAGAACATGCGTGTGAATGTGGATTAAGCGTATGAATGTTTAATAAGCGTATGAATGTGAAAGAAGCGTATAATAATAAATAAACGTATGAAGGCCGAGATAGCCTGGTTGGTAGAGCACTGGGCCCATGTCCAATAGTTCGTGGGCTTGATCCCAGGCCAGACGAAGACTCCCGCCCGAGAATCTGTCGAATCGCAAAGTCCTCCATGTTCCCATAATAAATCAAAACCTGTGGGGGTACTGATCCAAGTGTTTCCTTGTCTTCTGGATTGGATTCAAAATGAGAAGGTATGAGTAGTCGCAAAATTGGGTCGACTGTTCAAAGACGGATATTAAATGTATGAATGAGACCTATAAACATGAACTTCTTTACTTATAAATGATCAAGTATTTGATCCCTCTATTTTTAGCCATCTTTATGGTTGGAAAAATATCTTCCCATCGACTGTGGGTCTTTAGAAAGGGTTTATATTGGTGTAAATTTTTAATTACTAAAACATTAAAATAGTAAAAAAAATCATTATGGACGCATAATTTCTTTTTTTAGGTCTCTACGGTTACCAAAAGATTCGGAGGAAAAATTAACCAACACGAGAAAAAGTATTCAGAAAGATGACATCGCACAAAGATCTCGGAGGAGTTGTTCTTATAAACCAATATTCCTGAATTCCAACTTCAATAACAAAAGAGAAAAAATTTGTCTTGGGAATCGATCTTTTAACGAAACGATGTGCAACAGCACTGACTACTTTTTACAATGCGTCATTAAATCCAGCTCACGAAGGAAATTTGTTTCTGTCATCCAAAAATCTGCACCGGCCAAGAATGCTTCCTCTAACAAGGATAAAATGAAGTCAGAGAACGTTGTGGTGAGTGCGGGTGCTCTTATACAGAAAGAGTCTGTTTTAAGTAAACTGACGCATCGAATTAAAGCATCGGAGATGAGTTTGATGAATCGATATTTGCAGCAGTTAAGTGAATCGTATCGGCAGCAGATGGAAGATATGCAAATAATGTTCAACGGAACCATGGAAGCTATTAGCTTAGCCTCAGAAAAAGCAGCAGTCATCGTGAGTATACGTTAATCCAAATTTCAAACAAATTGTTCAAATAGTGACACCCGGAAAAGGAAAAATCGCAGAATAACATATATATTAACATAAATGTTCTTTTCTTTATCATCAAGGCTAAAAGAATTTTTTAAAAATACCCTTTAAAAACGTAAAAGGGAAAATTATAGGAAATAATCTTAATGATATTAGCATTTTTGATAAAATAAACTATGAACAATAACAATCGCACTCCTCTGCCTTAACAGGCATGCGCAACAACAACAAAATGAACCTGTAAATATACATGTAGTTAAAAAATAAGATATTCATACAAATAAATATTTGATTTTTGAATAAAATAAGCTAAATTTTAATAAAATAAAATAAATAAATTTTGATAAAATGAAATAAAATAAATTTCGAATAATGAATAACTGATCAATTGGAATTAATACATTTTTAGTTATGTTCTTCAGGAATATCAGAATCATATTGTTTTGGATTATAAATTTTTATTTATTTATTTTTTAATATTCTACAAATTGAAAGAATGGCTGTTGTCCTTAAAGCAAATTCTTTATAATTTCAAGAACTCTGCTGAGCATCAAAACTTGTTATTGGACCACAATTAAGAAACAAGATACAAAACTTACAATAATTTATAACGAAAAAATAATTTTATAACAAAATGCGTTTGAAATGAAAAACATTATTCAAAATTTATAAAAAACCTTTTTTTTAAATAAATCTATAAACTGCAAAAATGTCAACAAAAAAATTATTAATGGTGCATTTATTATATATCAGGAGCGAAAAAAAATAATTTTTTTTTTCATCATCAAAATTTGCGCGTCAATAAAAGTAACTACTAAAAGTGCAATTGTAGCTATCATTTGTTGTGTAGACAGTAGTTACTATTCTAAACATGCTAGTCTAGTCTAATTTTATCACAATATAGATGACTTCAATACATTAACTCGAAAGAAAAGTAAAATATTTCATTATCAAAATTCTACTTATGAAATACCTTTAAATGAAAACTACAATTCGTAAATATCCTGTATGTTTTAAATTAAATACCTAATGAAAAAAGACTTCTGCTTCTTATTATTTTTACTTACGATTAAAACATTTATTTGGTAATTTATAAATTGATAATTAGATATTTTGAATCGTTTTAGTAAAATTTTGAATCCTTAATCAATAAATATTTAATTATTTATTTTAATTGAAAAGTGAAATGTGGAAATAAAGTGTATGTTTTAAATGAAAAGTCTAATAATAAAAAAATCCTTCATAAAAAAAGACCCTTTGTTGTTATCGTTAATGAGTGATAAAAAATATTTTGTTTATAATATTAGTGGATGTGAAAGTCTTGCCAATTCATTTAAAAAGATCATTTCATAAATTTTCAACCTTAAAAATAAATAATGATAAGGCAATAAAGATTGCGGTTTTCTTTCTTTATAATTAATTATTTTTGTTTAATTTATAACTGTAGCTTATCTTCAGAAAATTTACCCAAAGTATTACAAATATAAGTTTTAAAAAAATATTAAAAAACAGAGTCACGTTATCTCGAAATAAAAGTTAACAGCAGTGAATACAAGTGTGGTATTTCCTAAAAATGTTGGAGTTTAATCAGAACATTGGTGATCGCATCACAAAAGTATTTATCTCAATGTGCATTATTTAACATAAAATATTTCATAAATTTCACGATGTTTCTCTCCTTTGATTGAATAGTTTGTCCTTTTTGAGACATTTTTCTGGAAAAAAGAACTTTTTAAAATTTAAAATGTATTTAATTATCTAGAGTTACGAAAGGTATAATAGCAGATGATAAAGCGAGGTAAGTGATTGAAAAATAATTCACTGTTTGGCTCGCATTAAGGGTTGTCTCATTTTCAAGCACGGAGATGCTGCTCCTCTGACTCCCGCTCTGCAATGAACTCTGCGTCCGAGGAAGTGGAGTCCAGTGCCTGGCGAACGAACTATATAGACTCACTTTCTAAAGATGTAATAGCATTGTTTTATAAAAGATTGTTTTTTTACTGAGCAATGGGCGACGATAATCATGCCTTTTGATCCTCTGTGGAGAGTCCCTCCCATTGGTAACTCTCAAGAACTTCACTTTGATGAACTTTACAGATCGATGCGTTGTCCCTTTGTAACCTGATCAAATTGATTACCCATCCTCCTACTGTACTGACCGCAGCCAGTGATGCTTGACTTCGGTGTTTTGCCGGGGCGATCAGTCCAGTCCTTGAAGTGAAGTCATTCCTTGTTAAACCTGTAAAAACCTTACCAGTGTTAAAGAAAGTTGAAGTATTCCACTGAAAGTGTAGGGATCGAGTATAAATAAAACGTTTCGTGAAGTGAAATGCTGTTGTTGTACTTAATTTACGTCGCACTAAAGCTGCACAATGGGCTATTGGCGACGGTCTGGGAAACATCCCTGAGGAAGATCCGAAGACATGCCATCACAATCTTGATCCTCTGCGGAGGGGATGGCACCCCCGCTTCGGTAGCCCGACGACCTGCACGCGAAGTCGAGCACTTCACGGTAGAACAGTTTAACGAGGACCCATACCGCACACCCTCGGTCCCTACGCAGACTGATCCAAGTGGTCACCCACCCGCACACTGACCGTAGCCAGTGATGCTTGACTTCGGTGATCTGCTGGGTGTCTTAACGATCAGTCTGAAGTGAAATGCATTTAATAGGTGTTATATCAGTGACAACATGCAATCCCTGATGATAAGATTCTATCTTAATGATTCAGGGAATATTACATTGTTTTGACGCGACTTTGTTTACATTCGTGTATCAATGAGGTCATATATAATACAAATTCGACAATTGGATAAATATCGCGATAAATACCGCGAAGAATTTTTGACCGTTGAGGACGGGCGGACGGGCTGTTTTTCGAGCCCTGGACCAAGGATATACGGTATCGGTCCTCGTTAAACTGTCGCCTTCACGCGCAGGTCGTCGGGCTACCAAAATGGCGAAACCATCCGCTTTGGAGAGGATCAAAATTGTGATGACATGTCTTCAGATCATCCTCGGAGATGTTTCCCAGACCGTCACCAACAGCCCTTTGTGCAGATCTTGTGTGACGTCAATAAAGTACCTACCATAATAACATCGGAATTAGAAAGATCGTGTTAAAAGGGCAGAAAAATCTTAACTTCCGGAAAAACTGTCACCAAACGATTTGTCATTACGATGAAATCATCGCGAATCGAACACTTCAAAAAAATAACTTCCGGTCTGGACCCCCTACGGCAAACTTTCCCTCCGTTGTATACAGATCTGCTAGAAGTTGAAATCATTCTAAAAGTTATGCGTCAAAAATGACGAGTGTACGTTATTTTCGAAGGGACGACTAAAGATCACTTATTTCAAATCCCGGTTGGTTGTTGTTGTTTCTAATGCCATTTGTCAATCCAGCGAGCCTGCTAGGTGAATCCAGGGGTATTTAATGCCGAGGGTGAGTTTCTTGTTTTTTTTTTTTCAGTAACGCCATCGATGGCCAAGAATACGATTTCAGCCGCGCACACGTCACAATCTGTTTATACATCGATTAATTCATCCACAGATCGTCATTTTGACCCGAATCCAAAGAACGATCCATTCATTACCTCCAAAAGTATAATTTCTTATAAAAACATGGAGGACTTTGCGACCCGCAAAATTCATCAGTCACTGGCGGAAATCGAACTCACGACCTCTTAGACATGAGCCCTACCCGCCAGGCCCAATTTATTCTATGGATTGCCCAGCTACAAAATGACACGTAAATCATGGCATCAAATTTTCAGAATAACATCAATCCAATGTTATAACCTAAACTATTGCTATGTTCACACATCAAAGTTTATTCGAATGATTACTCAACTACTTTTCTGTTTTTTCTTATTGTCAAAGTAACTGGCGTCACTACTTTTTCCCCCCTTCCCCGTATAAGATTTCAATCTTATACGGGGAACAATACGGGGGGGGGGGATATCCCACAAGACTGGCTGGAATACTTTTTGATGCGAACTCACGTTTGCTTTACTTGGAGAAGAAAACCTCCTACGAATAACCTGCTCGCTCCGACCACATTGTTGGCGAAAAATTGGGTAAGATTGGTAATGCACGACAAATTGGGTAATGCACGCTGAAAACATACTCTGCCGTGATTGGAAGTTTGCAACGTTTTGATGTTGGACTGCACACGTGTTTTGTGCGATTGCTGAATTTACATAGCGAGAAGAGTATTAAAAAAAAATGGCATATTCCTTCACTGACGTTTGAAAAGTATCATTTTGTGTTGTCCCTCATTTTAAGAACTATCATACAAAGAATAATATTTAATTTTTTTCATTTGCCCGAAATAAGGCGGGACAGTAAACTGATTTTAAATGAATGGTTTCTTACACATACAAAAATCCAAATTTCAACTTAAAACTTGTGCATTATGTTTTGTTTTACTTCCTTGCATCTATTAATAAATTTAAAAAAATAAGTTGATTTTTTGCATTTTTTTTAATCAAAATAATTGGTAAGGGCGGAAGTAGTTGAAAAAGAAACAAATCTTCAAGTTTCTTTCACAAGTTAGTTCAAATTTTGCGTGATCAGTACACTTTAATCAGACCTTTTTGAAAGTCTTAACGCATAAATTCTTTTTCTATTACATAAGCTTAAAAGAAATTAATAAAAAAAATATTTTTTTTTAAAGAGAAACTCTCAACTTTTAAATTGTAACACAAAATTATATTTAAAGGGCAAATATTAATAATAAAGAAGGTCTTCTTAACAAATATACAACTTTATTTAAACTCTTAAACTAAAGTAACAGACTTGCTATAAAAATGAAAGACTCTGTCGCAGGTTTATATACATTCATTTATCTTTATAAAAGACTCCCCTCAAGAATCTGTGTCGACTGAAATACATCCAGAGCATTATGAGAACAATTCCAGCTACGTAAATACTTATCACCGTACTTTCTTTTGGCATGTAGCACTTTGTCACTTTGTAAGTATCAGGAGCAAATGCAGCCTAAAACAGAATAATAAAATAAGGAATTTCAACAATAATTACAATCCCCTTCCCAGTTTTCATGTGGTTGAAACCGGTTTGCACTTGTTTACATTCGTGTCTCAATGGGTTAACATTACGTTGAAAATAAATACAAATAGGAAGTATACAAGAAATCCATGACATGTATGATTAAATGTAAAAGTACTGCATACAAACTCGTACAAAATATATATCATTATTTAAAGTGCGTCTACTTATTACAATATAATAATATATTTTATACTTATATAATATATTGTCTAATCTATCCCATCGTTGAATTTATATTGTAAATTGCCTAATTTAACCAATTGATACACGAACATAAACAAGTTGCAAACAGATTTCAGTCACGTAAAAACAATAAATCTGATGATAATTAAGATTTTACACAGAATCTTAGAGTGAGTCGAATAATTTAGCCAGTGGCTGTAGCTAGACTCCAAATGTCTGTCCATCAGACCGTCGACCCTGAGGAAATCGAGGACCAGACGGGGGGGATAAGTATATGTCCTCTCTGGAAAGTCTCAAACAGTCCAGGACATGTTCGGGAGAAGCCTCCTCAGTTTGACATTTGGAGCAGATCTGGAAGATTCTCCTGCCTTCGAAAAACGAGAGGCATTTTGTGTGACCGCTTGCTAATCTGTAAATTGTGGTTTTGGAAGCTCTGTCACAATTAAGGGCGAATGAAAAACCTGGCTCTTTGCCTGCATACCAGTGATGGCAAGGAGGAATCGTCCACCCTTTTGAAATTTCAGAATTAACTATGGATTGATGTCTAACTCCTAATAGTTTAGATTTTTTTTTTTTTAACTATCCATCGTTGAACAGCTCATCCAATTTTGGGTTTACGACTACTAACGTTCAACTCCGCAGACTTGTAATTTTGAACCCAATCCAGAAGACAAGGAAACTCCTGGATTGGTACCTCCAGAGGTATTGATTTGTGATGTAAACATGGAGGACTTTGCAACTCGACAGATTTAACGTGCATCAGTCACCATTTACTACACGGGGAGTTTTACGCCGGCTGGAATCGAACCCACGAATTCTTGGACATGGGCCCAGTGCCCTACCAGCCAGGCTATTCCAGTCATAATAGTCTAGCTTTTCTTTTATATATAACCGTCGTCGAACAGCCGACCCAATTTTTTCGGACTTTAAAGAAGTGTTCTAATGTTCAACTCCATAGCCTTGTAATTTTGAACCTTATCCAGAAGACAAAGGAACTTCTAAATCGAATATTGGGAGAAATTTGCCTTCCTGGAGGACTTTTTGATGGAACTAACCCGCATTTGTATTACATGCAAAGGAAGACCACCTGAACCTCCCACGGTTAGCCTGTCGGCTAGGGGACTCTAACCCATGATCTGTCTACCACTGAGGATATTTCACGTCAGCACTAATAGTCTAGATTAAAAGATCCCTTCTTAAGATTTAAAAATCAACAGAATACATACATGAAAGGTATAGTTGAAACAATTTGTTGTTCTTTCAAAGAGGCATAATTTTTTTCTCCATAAACACGACACTTTTTCACTCAGTACTTTGAGGTGACCTACCTTTAACTATCGAAATCCTAAAATTTCATAAATAATTAGAGCAATTAAGATTCAGTGTAGTGTATATTTAAATGAAAGATAACCCAGCCATAAAATAACCATATTTTATCATTAGTTACACTGCTCAAAGCAATGTTTAAACATTTCATATGTTTTTAATTGATTTTGAGCAATGTCGAAACTTTGCTGGTGATACATATACTTTAAAGGATTCTAAAAAGTTATGCACATTATATGAAATTACTTTTATATACAATTGAGGAAAGGTCCCGGGGGAATCAGCGGTAAACGTATTATTGGTGAGAGTCCCCTTGCCGCCAGGCTAACCGTGAGAGGTTTTCCTCTCCATGCAGGTTAGTTCCACCGAAAAGTCCTCAACAAAGACAAATTTCTCCCAATACTTGATCCAGGAGATTCCATGTCTTCAAAATGATAAGGCTACGGAGTTAGTCGACGTATACCCAAAAAATTGGGTCAGCTGTGGAGGAAATAATAAAAAGACTTACTAATATAAAACTGGGATCATTTTTATTTCTCCAGCTAAAAGATGGAATAGTCCATTCAGGTATCTGTTCTCTGTGAACAGTGAAACAGCCATGATGAGTGTGACCAGAAAATGCGGCTCTCGGCTCAAGTAAGCTCAGCACCTGTCAAAAATATGTCCCTATGAGCATTCCATCCTTTCCTTACGAATTCAATTCAAGTATCATACTTGCAAAACTTATTTAGACCTTATTATTTTTGAATACATATTTTATGGTACAAATTATAACAGGATTGGTATTCCCTGTACAGATTATACATGAATAGAAAACACTGTACTCTTGTGTGAGCTGTATAGGACTAGTTTTAATTCCTGGAATACAGAAAACAAATAATGCTATAGTAATTGAAATAGTTTAGTATAGTCATCCTTATATATCCCATAGATTGCATTTTTACCATTTTTTAAAAGAAAAATAATAAAATTCCGAGTATTTTTTCAAGTTTGAAAGGAAAAACTCAAAATTTCCTGCATTTTCCCTGTTATTTTATGCGATTTTTAAATTCCCTATATTTTCCAAGTTTTCCCTGTGGAGAGGCAACCCTGTATGAAGATTAAATGGAAATTTGGGAATATAACTTTTGTAACTTTTCCAAGCAAAATCTTACTTTTAGCAAATTATCAGGGATTAACACAGAAAAATGAATTATTATTTAATAAAGTTACATAAATGGTAAAACTAAATTACAACACGATCCATCATCTTCCCTTACGATTCAACAGTCCGGTCACAAACTATATGCTTATAATTCTAATAATAACTATTTTTTTTAAAAACTAGTATCCATCAGAAATGACATCTTATATTAGCTTTGCGGGCTTCTTGTACTGATGATGAGGATTCGACACAGAAAATGCTTCAAACAGTCAATGAAAATCTATGATAGTGGAAGTGAACCTCTGCAAAACAGAAATCTGATGTTGAAAATTTATTGCTGCAAAAAAGAGCTTTCTCTTTTAGAATAGCCTGGGTCTCCCCCTCTCATTCAGTAATGAAACTTATTTAAATTTTTCACCTCATTATACATAGATGACAAGAATAGCTATTCCTCCGATGCTCAGTCCATTTTATTGATTTTCTGACAATTCTATATCCATCATGCCGGATGCAGTTATCAGATTGTTCACTTTGTTATCTAGCTGCGAAAAATTTATATCATTGCTGACATTAGGGCAGAATTCAGCTAAATTTTTGCAATGACTGTGGCTCATTTAAGCCTATCAGAAGGCTGTATTTTTGTAAAAACATCGCAGTTTGCTATGTGTAAAAATACAGGCTTTTGACTGGCCAAATTTTTCCATCGTAATTGCGAAAATTTAGCTGAATTCAACACTATAAAGCCATGGATTTACGAAAGATGGATTTTTTGTGCAATGAAGTAGCTGACATGAAACTGTACTGATATTTTGTTTTTAAAAAATTTTCATTAATGAAGGAAACCTAAAATAAACTTTCAATTCGATTTGGGGGCCCCCTTGATGTGGGGGCCAGGGCAACTGCCCCGTATGCCCCAGCCTTTGTTAGACTCTGGCCCTGCGTGCGTTGTTCCTTCAATTAAAGATAGACCTGCTTCATCAAGCTTCTTTTAATGTCGATCATCCTTCCTTTGAACATCATTCAGAAAAGACTTCAGCTTGGTTAAACAAGTATTCAAGTCATTATTTAATAATTTACGTTAACTCATTTCTTCTCCCTATCTATTATTCGCAACTCCGTGGCAGAATCGTGGTGACACTGTCGCAGAACATTACAGAGTTCCTGCTTAAAGATTTTTTTATTTGGAAACAAAGAAGTTTTTCTTTTTTTTAAATCTGCAGAATTTTCCAAAAATTTACTGAAGCATTTTTTCTTCGTAAGAACTTTCTTCCCATTTCTGCAGAATTATATTCAAAAAATGCCTTTTTCGCATATCCGAGGTAAAAAAATTGCTCGTGATTTTTTTTTCAATTTTTTTTTCCTTTAAATAAAAAAATTCCGCAATGATTGGCTAAAGTTAGAATTTCAGATTCATATTAGATAAAGTAATTTCCAGATAGCAAAAATTTAAAACAGGTTAACTATACAAATATGTTTAGAACAGGAGAATATTGCCAATAACATTAAAATATGTATTCTTTTATATTTAGATTTTTAAAAAAAATTTTACATTTATTATTAAATATATATATATATATACTGTTCTGTTTTATACATGAAGGGGTTTTTTTTAGCACTTCTGTTACTTTGAATTAGTAGCATATATATTTACTACTGCATATTAAAAATGTCTCTCAGAAAGGTATTAGTACTAGAGAAAATCGTAGCAGAATATTAAACAAAAAAACTGCCACAGGGATTCGTAATGAATGGTCCCATAAGAGTAGACTCTACAGAACAAGAAAACATTTAAAAGATTTTTAAAAACAAATAAAATTACTTTATTAGTTGATCCTCTTGATAAACAATCCCAAAATTCTCTGAAAGGCTCATTAATGATATTAGATGGAGCTGCATCAATGTCTTTGCAATGGCTATCAGATGGACGGTACAGAGGAAAATGCTATAATTGAGGTGAAGAACCATTAGACCATTCTAAATCAAAATATCATTTTATGGTTAATGTACTATATAATTCACTCAACATTAAAAAATGATGGGGGGGGGAGGGAAAGAGAAGTATAGTCATACCTAAATTCACTTGTTGGATAATTTTTTAAAACATACAGTTCATAAATTTTAGCAAAAAGATTAAATTAAAACAGTTTTTTTTTCCTCCTGTCTTTTAAAAGAGCAATAGATCTTTAAAACGCAAATATGAGGAGCGGAATTTCTACAGATCAGTGTGTCTCAATCCAGTTTACTGATGAAATGTTTAATTTTTTGGACACCTGAAATGAGTCATTTTGACTAACGGCATCATTTTTACACAAACAAAAGTGTGGCACTTTAGTTTTTCATTATTCACATATACTCCACAATGAAAAATGTTTTGATCCTAAACCTATTTAAACATAAATGGAATTTATATTAATTCTGATACAAATGTTGATTTTGCTGTTTAAATAACAAAATAGTGGCAGAAAATTATACAACCATTGTCACGGTAGCACAAGAATGTAAGTAAATATGAAATAAAAAAAAGGAAATATTAAACATTCAAAAAATAAATATTGAATTTAATTTCACTTGTTGTTGACTAACATGTCCATTCTAGGTGTCAAACCAGCCACACCACGTAAAGCGATCACAAGATTAATTTCGTTTTGATGCTTGGTTTTAATATTCATAACCGAAAAGGTAGCCACACATAATTCAATAAAATAAAAGGGAAAAATGCAATATAATGTTATGCATCAAGATGTGGAACTCTTTTTTCAGAATTGCTCTGTTGGGGGGACCGAAAAGTAATGTCGTTTCGACGCATTAAATATTCGTTAGTCTTAAAAATCAATTCATTTTTTCACGATCCATTTCCGACACGGCATTGAAAGGTTGTTGAGGGTGAATACATTACTGATTAAAAATAAAATCTTGATAACATATATCAAATGCACTGAAAAAAACATTACTTTCTGGTCCATCTAATATGATCATATCAATTAATTCTTCTAGTACCATCGCTATGCATGGACACAGGCGGGCAAGGCTTGAGGGCCCCAAGCACTCAGGGGTCCTTGAAAAAGGAGGGGAAATCTAACTTTTTATATATTTTATTAAAAAAAAAACTAAGAGCAAAAACATTGTATTACATATTTTTTTTAAAGAAATATATTCCTTTTTAAAAAGTGTGCATTTATTTATATAAATAGTGATTGATTATCAAGCAAACACCAGTAATTTGAATCACCAAAAAAACTTTGAAAAATAACCGAAACCTATTTCTCTAAGTTTTTAGGTACTCAACTAATTTCTCTAGAAAAGCTTGACCACCACCCACTCCGTTTAGTATTAATAATGAGTTAAATAAAGCAATCACATTGAAAGAGTTACCCATAAGAGAGCAACTTTTAAACTGGTAAATTGCATTGAAAGATGTTTTAATAACTGACTTTTTAATAGTTAGAGGAAATAATTCATACCTTTTGAATTTATTTATTTGTTAAACACTTATGTTCTTTTAATTTAATAGTTTTAATTAGATTCCTGTTTTTGGAAATTATTTTATTATTTAAGGATTGCAATTGGTTAGTATCTCATTTTTAAAAATAAAACAAAAATTCTGCACAGTTTAAAAATGCTTTATTCTATGTGCATCGAGTTTTTTGGGGTGATAAAAATGTGTTTAAGTTTGCTAAAATTGCTGCATATTTTAAAAATACTTTATGTGAAATTTTTTTAGATCTATTTTAAATCGTATGATATGTTGTAGAGGCCCCAAAACATTTCTGTGCCCTGCTTTAATTTCAAATCATAAAAGTTTGCATTCTTTGCCTATCCAAAAATAATAAGTTCCCTAAATCTAATAGATGCGCTGTATTAAGTGGGTTTCTTCCACCCTTGGTTGCAAACTCAGAACAGAAAAAAATAAACAATTTAATATTTTTGGCGCTTGAAAATTTATACTTTTAAAGCAATAATTTTAGACTAAGTTAAAAGTAGTTGTTACTTACTGTCATTTATTTAGCTCAGCAATCACGAAAACTCTTTAAATAGTTTTTTTTCCCTCTCATAGTTAACAATTTATCACTTGTGCAATTAATTTTGAAGTAAATGAGCTTTAATTAAATTTTAAAACATTTCTAGTACACAGGGGCCCAACTGAAAAATCCTGAGTAAATTCTTGAGTAAAATCATGAATGATGCATTTCAAAACATGAATGTCTTCAGTAATTTAAATCATTGATATTTTAAAAACATGAAATTCTAAATAAATTATATGCAACATAATTTAAATGAATAATTATGTATAAGTTTACTTTTATCTTTAATCACATTTATTATTCTACTAGAAAAGATATTTACAAATGAAAGCGACGCCAAGTATAAATTCTAGATCTAATGTTCTCGATAAAATATACAAGAATTTTTACACATAAATGTGATCGATGATTTCTGGAAACTTCTGATTTCCAGTTCGCAAAAAATTCGGAAATCCAGATTTTTTTTCCGGAGCACAATCATCTCTGGGTACAGTATTGAGAAAAGGAACTATTTTACAGCTTTACTGAAAATGAAGGTAATTTTATAAAACATTACAAACAAGTAGTTTACATTGTTTTCTAAAAGCTATTACAAATTTTATTTATACTAAATTACATTGAATTTTAAAGAATTAAAAAAAAATTACCTGTAGAAATATTGGTGGACTATATTGTGGAAGAGTTTTGTATTTTTTACAGTCATCACCTTCTCCTTGATTCTGAAATTATAACTAAACTAATTTATACTTGGTCATTAAAGGTATATACAACATTTTTGATTTTCAAATTCATGACTAATTCCAAGAACTTTTCACAATTTACCAAAGTTATTATACCAAAAACAGAATAAATTTAAAAAAGCATTATAATAACATTAAATTTAAAAAATAGAGTAAAGAAAGAGTTGAAGCAATAAAACAGCTGAAAAAAATACAAAGGCAAATAATCTTCTTTCTCTCTGCAGAATTATAGTCTAAAGATACTTTTCTTGATCATCGGAAAGGAAAGAAATACTCCTGATTTTTCTGTTCTCATTTCGGAATTAAAATAATTTGCCAATGAATGGCTTGCTGCAGTTAGAATTTTAAATTGATAAAATAAAAAATAATAAAAATTTTGAAATCACAGAAGTTTATAAGATAATTCGCTCTAGAAATGGTGTTTTTTCTTTCATTTTTTGAAAGAATACCATAATTTTTAAAGAACATGATAAAAACATTTTATATTTTAATAAAATATGACTGTGAGTGGGGATTTTGTAACAAATTCAGATAATCGAAAGACTGTGAAATCGGGTATTTCTGTAAATTCCATTTTAAAAATTAGATTTTTCGGTGACCAAAATCCATGACTTCTAATGAATTTCCAGGTGGGCAGATACCATGTCATTTAACCCAAACCAGCTGAAACTAAGCATTAAATTACGCAATATAAATCCTGCATGATTTAACCACTTTTATGACTATTTCGTACAAAATGAGCTTACAAAACTGAATAATAAGTGTTAATAAAAAAAAATATGAGAAAGAATAGTTGACTCCCCATAAAAAGCAGTATTGAATTTCTTAGATAAAATAATAGATTAAATAGTAATAATAGATTAAATACAGTATATAGACATATTCACTTCTAAGAAAAATAATTTGAAGCATAATAACTAAGATAAACTTACATAAGACTTTAGTGAAACCAATAATTTAACAGTTTATACTTTCAAACTGCGCAAATAAAATCAATTAAAAAAAAATTTTGGCAAATAAAATCAATAAAAATAATTTTTGGGAAATAAAATTTGCAAATATTTTGTACTGCACAGCAGATTTAGTAAATTAGGTATGAGATTGTGAAGAAGGAAGAAGCTGTGTGCATAAAATAAATAAGGTTTGAAATACAGTTATATACAGATTATTTTATGAACACCTAATTTATTAGCTAGAACAAATCACAAACTTTTCTCACACAAATGCAAAACCGGTTCATCTAAAAGTAATACTAATTAAAAAAAGCTTTTTTTTTTATTTATTACAAATGGTTCCACATACCTAAGTGTAAATGACAGGAATTAGTTCTTGAAAAATAATCCTCTTTAAGTTAGAAAAAATTTAAATCAGGAAAACAAGTTTTCACCGACTATCTGGCCTCTATTGATATACATTTATGATACAGTTTAGTATCTGCACAAACTTATGGGGGAGTTTTAAGGACACTGTCAACCTTAAAATAAATATAAACAGCATTAATCAACTAGTGCTATGTTTTTAATTGAATTCTACCACAAATAAAATTCTGGTAGGGAAAGTAATGTAGCATTAATACTGTATATAAGAACTTGATTCTGTCTTGAGGTACCTTANTGTTCATCAGAGAGGAAAGAAATACTCCTGATTTTTCTGTTCTCATTTCGGAATTAAAATAATTTGCCAATGAATGGCTTGCTTCAGTTAGAATTTTAAATTGATAAAATAAAAAATATAAAAAAATTTGAAATCACAGAAGTTTATAAGATAATTTGCTCTAGAAATGGTGTTTTTTCTTTCATTTTTTTGAAAGAATACCATAATTTTTAAAGAACATGATAAAAACATTTTATATTTTAACAAAATATGACTGTGAGTGGGGATTTTGTAACAAATTCAGATAATCGAAATACTGTGAAATCGGGTATTTCTGTAAATTCCCTTTTAAAAATTAGATTTTTCGGTGACCGAAATCCATGACTTCTAATGAATTTGCAGGTGGGCAGATACCCTGTCATTTAACCCAAACCAGCTGAAATTAAGCATTAAATTATGCAATATAAATCCTGCATGATTTAACCACTTTTATGACTATGATGAGCTTACAAAACTGAATAATAAGTGTTAATAAAAAAAAATATGAGAAAGTATAGTTGACTCCCCATAAAAAGCAGAATTGAATTTCTTAGATAAAACTAAATAGTAATAATAGATTAAATACAGTATATAGACATATTCACTTCTAAGAAAAATAATTTGAAGCATAATAACTAAGATAAACTTACCTAAGACTTTAGTGAAACCAATAATTTAACAGTTTTTACTTTCAAACTGCGCAAATAAAATCAATAAAAAAAAATTTTGGCAAATAAAATCAATAAAAATAATTTTTGGGAAATAAAATTCGCAAATATTTTGTACTGCACAGCAAATTCAGTAAATTAGGTATGAGATTGTGAAGAAGGAAGAAGCTGTGTGCATAAAATAAATAAGGTTTGAAATACAGTTATATACAGATTATTTTATGAACACCTAATTTATTAGCTAGAACAAATTACAAACTTTTCTCACACAAATGCAAAACCGGTTCATCTAAAAGTAATACTAATTAAAAAAAGCTTTTTTTTTTATTTATTACAAATGGTTCCACATACCTAAGTGTAAATGACAGGAATTAGTTCTTGAAAAATAATCCTCTTTAAGTTAGAAAAAATTTAAATCAGGAAAACAAGTTTTCACCGACTATCTGGCCTCTATTGATATACATTTATGATACAGTTTAGTATCTGCACAAACTTATGGGGGAGTTTTAAGGACACTGTCAACCTTAAAATAAATATAAACAGCATTAATCAACTAGTGCTATGTTTTTAATTGAATTCTACCACAAATAAAATTCTGGTAGGGAAAGTAATGTAGCATTAATACTGTATATAAGAACTTGATTCTGTCTTGAGGTACCTAGAAGAATATACTAGGGTATATCAGACTAAGTAAGAATCATTACCCTGGAACACTTGAGTAAGTGAGAGGTTTGTTTGAGTTTCTCTTCGGCTGGTTTACAGAGAAAGCAGTTATCACCATGCAATGCCATACTGCTGACTAAGATGAATATATTCCCTTTCATGGTTACCATTTCAACAGATGACACATTGAATGCTTTACTAAACCTCTCTTTCAAGGCTGGTCTTATCCTAAGAAAATTAAGAATATGCGTTATTAGTCCCTGCTGAATGGTGGAAAGGTTATCCACTCTTACTTGCAATTCAATATTATTCACATTTAGCACTTTAACGCGTACTTATGCAGGCATTTGTAACAAAAATGCCGAAAAAGGTCATTACTGTTTTTTCTAACCAACTTCCTCAAAATTTTTTTAAATAAAACGTTTTTTTTTTAACTCATTAATATTTTGCATAATATATTACTTTAACTTCCTTTTCATGAAATACCTTTGAGGATTGCAAAAAGGGAGCTCTTTCTGAGAGTAGACTATTGAAAAGGTCGAGAGATTGATTACTTGAGTAGTTTATGTGCAATATATATGCATTTATTTTTTCTTCTACAGCAAGCAGCATCTACTTTCTAGGCAGCAATTCTGATGCTCGACAAATACAATTCCTAAGACACGGAACTGTTCACAATGAAAGAAAAGTTTTAGAATGTGCATTGAAACAGCTCAAATAACAGCTGCTTCTTTAATTTCTAATAATGAGTAATATTTGTCCTTTTAAAAAAAACTCAGAGCAACATTTTTCTAACCATATCATTTAACTGTGCTTCATTATATAAGTTAAGTTGTCTTTAGTGAATGACATAATTATTTTGTAATAACTTTATATTTTGAATCTACGCATAAATGAAAGATTATCAAAATTAGAATTGTTATAGTTTTTGCAAATTTTTTATTATAGAATACATTATTTTAGAATGCAGACAAAATGATTACATTCATCAGATAATGCTTTTATTTTGCATCTTAAAAAATAGAAAATATATTTCTTAAAGGTTACCAATTCAAGGTTTGCCAAAAGCTATTGTTTACCCAAGATAAGCCTCTATTGTCTTGCATAAATTATCTCTGATCGCTTATAAGTTTTGGCAGCTTGCTCCCACGATCGCTCTTGGAAATATTTCTTAGTTGTTGTAGCAGGTAATAAGGGAAGGGGGGAATGAGTAGTAGGGCAGAAGAACTATTGAGGGTCTTATGATTTCGGATCAGTGGGGGAATCACTTTTCTTTTGGTAGGTTTTTTTTCCCATTGAAAAAAGCTTTGTTTAAGTGACAAATTCAATGTATCTTTGCTGTCTTATTGATGTATTTGTAACTGTCTTTTAAGTAAAAATTTTATGTTTTAAAGATGATTATTATTTTTCAAGTAATTAAACTTTTCAACAACTAAAAAAATAATTCATTCTAAAAAAATAACTAAAAAAATTAAAATAATAATATATTATACAAATAATCTGCATTTAATTAAATTTAAATCATTATTTTAATCAACTGACAAAAGTTTTTAAGAATCGAAGGAAGGAAAAACTAAAAAAAACTAATTTAAGATTTTCTATTTATAAAAAATTATTTATCATAAATAAGAAGGATAAATAGATAGAAAATTTAAATTATGATGGCAAAACAGCGAGATTAATAAAAAATATTAAACCAACATAAAAAAGAAACCAGCAAATATATAAGTTAATCGATGTAATTCATTACATTGAAGTTAAGTCAAATTATAGTAAATTAAATAAAGCCGAATTATAATAAACTGATGATTTATTAAAATCATTAAATTATCTAAAAAATTAAAGAAAAAGAAAACACAAAACATGGTGGAATCTTCTGCTTTTATTTATAAAAGCGGACAATTTTTAACAAAAGCAGATGTGAAAACTTGCAAAAATTACTTTTCTCTCAAGAATCAGAATTCCTTCAAATAAAAAAATAATATTTCTTTGACAAACATCAAAAAAATAAATCTAGCAGACAATAAAAATGCTTTGTTCTCAATAAGTAAAGCATGATCTAAAATTATAAATCAAAAATAATGAGAACTGAGAAACAAAACTAGATTTAAAAAAAAACTAATATGTCAATACTCTCAAAGCAGAAGTTTCAACTCGGACATCCGATTGAAAGCACTCCAGAAAAGCTTAAGAATAACAAAATGCTCAGGATACGCTTAATAAAGGATACGCTTTTTTTTTTTAATTGCAAGCGCAAGCTACGAATGGAAAAGTGAAATCCTGTAATTTGATAGGGCATCAAATTCCCTGACAATTACGGGTTTTGGGGAAAAGTTATACTTTCCCCTGACTTTTTCTTCTTTTTTTTTCTGATTCTCATTTTCCCTGACAGTTCCCAGTGCGTAATATTAATTTACAAATGATTTTGGTTGCTAAACACCATAACTAAAGCTACACATATTAGTAACGATCTCTGACGCATGGGTGCTTCTTTATTTTATTTACTTATTTTTTACAAGGCACACATCAAAAATAACAGCTGCACCTTTTATATCTCTTTACACCCATCGCTAAATTTCTGATTTCTTGGAGACATTCATTCTTCATTTTTCACTGCATCATTCACGTTTTCTATTAGATCATTTTTTTAAAGAGAATTTTAATTTAACGAAGCATCTCAAAATATCGAGAAAAACAATTTAAACTTAAGCAGATTCTGATTTAACAATACAAATTTTATCTTCACAAGTTCAGTCAATACCACTCAACATAAAAATAACACTATTTAAAAAGAAAAGAAAAATTAAATTTTCGTTAGAAAACAATTTTTGTTTTTTTTGGAAACTTAATTTAAAAAAAAAAAATATGGAAATAAATATTAAATGATGGACTGAATTCAATCCTGTGGATCCTTTCTCAGGATTGAAGAGTGGCCCCCCATGTCTCTGAAAAGACCCACATTTTATTTAAAGGTGTTGACATTGTACGGTTTGAGCATACATGAAATTTGTCATTAAAATTGACACTTTGATTTGCCAATTAACGTAAAGTATTTTAAGTTAACACTTTAAATGAATGAAACTTTGGATTGAATGGGACTTTACACATTAGATCAATAAATGGTATTTTGATGGAAGGATTAAGAAAAGGTTACTCACCCATAATGAAATCCAATATCATGATTACCAATGACTATATATAACTTAGTATTTTCAGGTACATAGAATAAACTATAAAAACGTTTAATATAATTATTAAAATCTTGATCACTGCAGTGATAGCCTTCATCAAATATATCACCTACAAAGAATAAATAACCAATCAACTTGACTGAAACACTACATGCAATTGATAACAGTGATATTTTTTGGTTAAGATATGAAACTGTATTTCCTTTCTTGGAATGTTTTTAAAAAAACTCAAATGCTAGAAAACAACATGCTGAAGAAAGATCCCAGTTTTTTTTTCTTTTTTTTTTTTTTTATATATATAGTGGTAGCAAAATTACTTAGTTGAAAGCGAAAGAGAAAACTGAATTTAAGAAAAATTTAATATTTTCAAGTATAATTTTATTAATTAGGCTTCATGAACAACTATAAAGTACAGTTTACATACATAAAATATGTTTCATAAGCTACATAATAAAAATATGCAAAATAGTAAGTCCACAGAACTTTATAACCTTTTATCATAAAAAGATAACAAAATATTAAAAGAATCATAAGCAAATTGTATAAAAAAGAAAAGAATATTACTGGTAAACTGATACAGCTCTATGAAGGGATACGGTTCAAGCAATGCTACAGTAAAGTTTACTTTGTTATGTTGTATCAGATAAATGGATAATATTTATTTTGATGAAAACAAANTTTATTACTTTTCTGTCTAATTAAAAAAACTTCAATTAAAAACAAAATATACATAAATATTAATGTATCGTTATTGAACTCTCCCTTTAAATGTTTGTAGCATACTATACAAGATTTATATTAAATCAATATATTTGTGAAATAATGTAAATTTTCAACAAAATAAAGTAATACATAAATAAATGTACCTAATATAAAAACAGCTTGAGGATTGTGAAGACTCATTGCAGTTTGGAAAGTTCTATACATTTGCCACTCTCTGAAATTAAACATTTAACTTCTTTAATTCTTAATATAAATAATTCTTTTTACAAAATATCACAGGTAATATAAATTAAGCTTTTTGGATAACAAAGCTAAACTGTTATTTCTTAACCATTTTTAACCAGGATTGGCAAAAATCATGATTTTCTAACAACAACAAAAAATTGTAATTATTCAAAACAGATTTTTTTCAACATTTACCCATTAAATCTATGTTAAAGTATTTGACAAAATGAGTTAATATATATATATTATTTTATAAGGACACTTTTGACCTTCTTTAAAATTTATGAGTCTATTTTAAACATCAAATAATAAATTAGTCATCATTTCTCTAGTTAAAACCTTCATTATTAATTAAATCAATAATGAAGGTTTAAGCTTCTCGGAATTCATTAAGAGTTTGGGGGAACTACTGACCCCCGAATAACTCCTGAAATAAAAAATTTGACTCTATCTGACAAATAGGGCTGTCTATGGGTTGAGAAAGTTTATTAAATCTAGGTCTCTTTCTAGAAAAACGAAGTTCTTCATCTACAAAACTCTCGTCCGGCCAGTCTTGACACACGCTTTCGAAGCTCGGACCGCGACAAAATGGGAGGAAAATTGTATCACGCTATGTGAGAGAAAGATTTTGCGGAGTCTATTGGGTATTGTCAATGAAAACAATAACTGGAGAAGGAGGTTTAACTTTGAATTGTATAAGATTTATAAAGAACATGACATAATTAAATACATACAAATAAATAGAATAAATTGGATGGCCCACGTGATTGAATAAGTGATGACAATAAAATAAAAAATATGCTGCTTTTTAAGCCTACTGGAACAAGAAAGCGGGGAAGGCAGTGGTCGAGATAGGCAGATTTTCTTGCAATGACTGAAACGAATTGCAGATCAGGGATAAATCAGAAGTCGTCATGGAGAAATCTTGAGAAGAAGGCCCACATTGGACTGTCTGGCCAACTATGATAATAGAGAATCACAATACTAAAACTTCCTAGTAGAACATTAAGCACACACATTGTAAGCATAACATAAGCGGAGGGATACATCAGAAGCTTATTGTTTACGCTCAGTCACAATAAATAATTTTGTTATTCTTTTGTTATGTAAGTTTAGGAATTGCATGCAAAAAGTTTTTGATGCAATACTACATAAGACTGATGCACAAAGAAATTAAAAAAAAAAAAAAAAAAGATTTAAACTGTCTTCAAGACTGAATGAACTAAACCAAATTTTCTAGATAATAGCTTGTGGGTCAGGAATCACAATTAAAATATAATGTTAATACTGGTAGGTAGGTACTTTATTTATGTCGCACTAGAGCTGCATAATGAGCTATTGGCAAAGGTCAAGAAAACATCCCTGAGGATGAAACGAAGACGTGCCGTCGCAATTTCAATCCTTTTCCAGGGCTCCCCTGCTTCGGTAGCATGACGACCCGTACCTGAAGTCGAGCACTCTACGATACGACTGTTCGACGAGGATCGATACTGCCCATCCTCAGTCCCTATGCGGGCCGATAGAAGTGGTCACCCGCCCGCTTACTGACTGCAGCCAGTGATGCTTGACTTCGGTGTTTTACTCTAAATCCCTGTGTCTTAACAATCAGTCCACTGCGGGGAAATGTTAATACAGAGAAAATGCGCATTGTGTTTCATTTTTAAATTTAATCATTCACGTAATTCGAGTGAGCAAATAATTTTTCTTAAACCTGTTTATTAGACTTTAAGTAAATTTGAGTAAATTGATTATAAAAAAAAATTCTAAGCAATACATTATTGGTTATACAGGGGCGACATTCAAATTTAGAAAAAAATTACACACATTATACACAATATATTAAGATGAAACACACAGTCACTTGTGTGAGCTATATTGGGCTAACTTTACTATCTTTAATTGCTGGAAAAACTTAAAGAAAAAAAAAAAAGAATCGATGAACATACTTAAATAATGTTAAAGTAAATGAAATATAGTTGAAATATCCTTAAATATCTCATAGATTGCACTTTGAGTAATCACCATTTTTTAAAAGATGAAAATAAGAAACAAATTTTCTGTATTTTCCAGGATTTCCCTGTTCTCCCTGTGGAGAGGCAACCCTATTACAGGGTGCATAGCCAAATTTTTCAACAAAAAATAAGCACCTTTTGAGCACTCAAACAATATTTTTAAGCACTTTAAAAAAATATCATAATTAGGCAGGGTTGGCAAGTTTTTCATGATTGACAGTTTTAACCATCATGTAAAAAAAAAAAAAACCTTTGGACATAGTTTTTTTAAAGTGTCAGAAACCCAAAATTTTGTAATAAGTTTTAATTAGCTACTATAAATATAAAGTATTTTTAAATTCACTAAATGGGAAAGAAATTAATTGAAAAAAAATTTATACATAAATTGAATCTTCAAATAAAATTAGTCTCTTGAAAGTAGTTAAGTAACTTCAAACGTAATTTGTAATCACTACATTTAAAAATAAATAGTTGCAGTTTTAATAAAGTAGTGCTATTTGTAGTAACAATTAAAAACTGTAGTTTTTCATAATAATACAATTTTTGTGACACATAATATTTAAAAAATATAATATGACAAATAATTAATGTATAAAATAAATATACCTCCTTAGTTTATCAAACCAATGGCCAAAACGTGGTCCCAGCAAGTGAATATCTGCTAGCAGCATAACTTTTACAGTAGAATGTTGTGTATTGGTTTCTAGTTGAGGCCAAGTACATTGCAGTAGCACAACATAATAAAATGCAACCTAGAATTGCAAGTTGTAATAATTAAAAATTAAGCTGTACTGATAATTACAGCCAATTATTTTGAATAATATACACTCTTATATCCATTTAAGATAATTCATCACATAATAATGCATTACGCAGATTTCCTTCTAAGCTAAAACCCACACACCCTAAGAATCAGAATAAGTGCCCCAATATATTAAGGTGGGGTGCAAAGGCTTATTAGAGTTGATTTTTTTGGTAAATCCACGTGGTTTTCTGATCATTTTTTGGGAAGAAATAGATAGTGTTCTGGCCATTAATCGTCTTTTTTCTGATCGTTTTCTTATAGTTTTTAAAGTTCCAATACATTTAATACATTATTACAACATGCAGAGTTTGAACTTGAGCTATCACTTTTTTGAAGTGTCTGATTCATAAAGATTCCCTCGTAATTTCATGTCGTTTGATGATGGGTTTTTTTTGTGGAAGTTATTTATAATTTTTTAGGCCCTTTTACATGGATTTTTAAATTCCAATATGTTTAATACTATGTTACCACGACGTTCAAAATTCGAATTTGAGTTATCTCTACTGGATGCGCTCGATTCGGGACGATTCTATCACAATACCATGCCATTTTTTTATAGGTTTTTCGGCAGTTATTTATCATTTTATTAGCCCCTTTCACAAGATTTTTCAAATTCCCGATATTCTTAATGTGAAGCTATTAAGACGTTCGATTCTGGATGATTCCATTTTAATTTCCCGCAGTTGGATGATATTGAGAAGTTTGTGTCGATTCTTTAATACTTGATATTGTATAAGCACAAACTCCGGTTTTGCTAGTTATTAATAATTTTACTGGCCTTTTGCATACGGTTTTCATATTTTTCCCCTAAACTCTTATAAAACTTAATACAACTTTTAAATTTCGAATTTGAGTTATCACTTTTTAAGGCGTTTGATTTGCACAATACCATCATAATTGACATCGTTTCCAGGAATTCCCACTCGTTTTTTTCTTATTCTGATAATTTTTATGTAATGCTATTATGAAAAGTGAGTTTTAAGATTTAAGAAGTCACCTTTTCACATTCTCAATTTAGATCGATTCTACCCCAAATTCACGTCGTTTATGTTGTTTTTGTTTCAGCTGTCGGTCGTTTCTCGATTCTTACCTTGTGTTCTTTTTTTTTATTCTGACGATTCTTAATACGATGTCACAGCGCATTTCATATTTTAGTAATCACTTTTTCACACGCTTGTTTTGCGACAATTCCATCGCAAGTTCACGGTCATTTTCAATCGCTTCTTTGGCAGTTATTACAATTACATATCTTTTTTTTTCTCTATTCCTTTTGACATTGTTTTTAAAATCCCGATAAGTTTAATGAGTTACTATTACGACATGTAACATTCTCAAAATTTGAGAATTACTCTCCTTTTAAAACTAATTTATAGAATGTGCAAATTTAACTGAGGAATTATATAAAATTTTATCTTTAAATAAGAAAGTTTTTTCTTAAGGTAAAATAAAAAACTTTGTAAATTTTGGGTGTCTCAAAAGTTACACAAATATTTGTGATAGGTTCCCCCTTTCAAGGGGAAATAATGCCCTTTTCAGCTTCTCTGCCTTTTTAAGGTCTAGAATGAACACTGCATTAGATAATTAGGATTGCCACTCAATTCTGGAGAAAAAAATTCCCTATACACATTATATTAAGAGGACTGCGCTCTTGTGTGAGATACTTTGGACTAACTATAACATTTTTAATTGCAGGAAACAGTTACGGAAAAAGAACATATTTAAATAATGCCATAGTAAATGAGATAGTTTAGTATATCTGAAATATCTTCCTTAAATATCCCATAGATTGCATTTTGAGAGGTGACCATTATTTTAAGGACGAAATTAAGGAACAAAATTCCCTGTATTTTTACAGTTTGTAAAGAAAAGGTCAAAATTCCCTGTAATTTTAGGTGATTTCTTAATTCTCTGTTCTATCAGTGAAGTGGTAACCATTGTAATATTGTATAATAATATAATAGCTTATTTGCTGTGGAATAATTATGAATGGGTTCCTTTCTACGATTTTTTTCTATTTTTCCACAAGCCGAAGCTAGTCACCAAAACTTAGCAATTATTTTGACAGATCTTGGATGCTTGCAAAAATACATTTTTATCATTATAAAATTTTCATTAGAGTATACCTCACAAAAGAAAAACAAACAAGCAATCAAAGAACAAGTTTTTCCAACATGCCACCAGTTAATACATCTCATAGATCGCATTCTTTTTAAATCTTAGCATACAGTCAATTCTAAAAAACAGAAAAGAAAACATTGTTTTAATCAACTATATTTACAACAATGGGGATATTTCCGTAGTGTGATCTGTTGCGTCAACTACAATGCCAAATAGATTTTAAACTTAGATTTTTTTTAAAAAAAAACATGTAGATGTTTGCCCGTGGGTGGTTAAGAGGGGATACTTCTGTATCCTGATCTGCACAACCAACTACAATCACCAAAGTGCCAAATAGATTTTAAATTTGCAATTTTTAAAAAAAAAAAAAAAAACATGTAGATGTTTTCCCGGGCAGCTACTTGTTATACCTTTGGAGTTAGTCCCTATCTGTGATGTCTTTTTTAGTTTCTGGTGGGCCACTGCGGCAGTTTGCAAGACTTGACGATTATTCTGCCACAGATCAGGATACGGAAATCTCCCCAATTATGAGTTATACCTTTTGAGTTGATTCCTTTTTTTTAGTTTCTCACAGGCTGCTGCCAGGAATGTGCCAAGACTTGGCGACTATTCTGCCACAGATCACGATACGGAATTCATAATATATAAATCTTTAAAATTGTGCTGCTATAATTCATTTTATAAGCCCTAAAACTTCATTATAATAGACAAAGTAGATAGTCTTTGCAGTTTCAATTAAGTAAACATTAAAACTATACAAAAAATACTTAAATTGCATCATTTTAGTAATGCTATAAACATTATGGAGAAAATAATTAGCTTGAATGTCAAATATAAATTAATAATTTTATTACACTGGTTGTTAGACTGTTAAGAGAAAAACATCAAACAATTTTTATTTAAGATAATCAAACAAAAATTTAGTTCCTAAATCTTAAAATATTATTGAAATAAACAAAGTAAATCTCTCCCTTAATTAAGAATAATTTTAATTCAAAATAATTTAAAAAAATAAAAATATTTTATTTTAAACTAAGAACAAAGATGTTTACTTGTCTGAATTACAATTACTAATAAATGCAAAATGAAAAAGCAGTTGCCAAGTGAGCTTCGAATAAAAACGAGATGTATTAAAACCAATAAGGTATTTTAGACATGATTAACATATGTAATTAGTCAAGTTTTATTTCAGCAAAAAAATCGATTTGTTTGTTTTGAAGACCGACAACCACAAATTGAGTTGAGTTGTACTAGAAAACAATTACATTTGCAGGTGGGCTGTTGCCTGGCTACCATGGAAACTAACACCTATTTGATTGGCTGTTGCCGTAATCGTTATTGCCTATCGAAATGGGCTATAGATGGCGCCGAACATAACTCATGATCAATGTGTGAAGAGTCATAGGAGAAAGAAGGGCGCAAGTTTCTGTCTTGATTTTCAGATAGATTAAAAACTTATAAGTTAAAAAATTATATGGAACTGAAAGCTACATTGAACATAATCGTCGTCAAAAGAAAGCGTCGTGAAAATTAAAAAGAAAACATTTTGGACAGTTAAATATGAAATATATTAAGTTGTTGTTGTTGAAGTTCATTTACGTCGCACTAGAACTGCACAATGGGCCATTGGCGATGGTTGGGGAAGCATCGCTGAGGATGATCCGAAGACAAGCCATCACAATTTTGATTCTCTGTAGAGGGGATGGCAACCCTGCTTCGGTAGCCCGACGACCTGCACGTGACGTCGAGCACTTTAAGATAGACTACACAGACTGATCCAAGTGATCACTGATCCCTACGCAGACTACGTAGACTGATCCCTACGCAGACTGATCCAAGTGATCACTGACCTCAGCTAGTGATGCTTAACTTTGGTGATGTGCTGGGAACCATGTCTTGACGATCAGTTCACTGCGGGACAGAATTAATATATAACACTTTTTATTTTAAACAGCGTCTAAAGTTCATTTTTGCTTAAAAACTTTATTAAGAAAAGTTATTTTCTTTAACAAAGCAGTTTTTAAAAACAAGTAAATACTTCAAAGAAGTATAAACAAAATATAAGAATTATTGAATAAAAAGTTAGTTTTTTTGTCATCCTATCTTTTTACAATCTAGTTACGTTTATAACCATTTTTATTACTTATTAGTAGTGTGAATTCATCTTAATAGTTTTCTGGTGGTTACCAAAAGCCAAATAAGGGTCTACCAATGAACTATCAAGTACTTTGTACACTTATCCTACTCCCTCACATTTCCGACTATCTATTTCCTCTAAAAAACAGTCCTCAAAACTAAGAAAATATATGTCTCTATTGATACATTTGGAAAAAAAGGGCAAGCTCACCAATGGAATTCTATGGAGTTTTGATATCTTTTTGGAAGAAAATGGGCAAATTAAACATTTTCTTCAGTTTTTTAAAATATCAACGGTTGATTTTCATGTAGAGTATAGTTTTTAACAAACTATTTCGCAAGTTTCGACTGATAATTGGGTAATAATTGAGTACTTGCACTTCAAAAGAAGTGGACAACCAACACCAATGCATGTGACCTATGATGTCAGCAGCACCAGTTAATCTTTATCCGCAATAGGTATTAAAGTTGAGCTAAGTTTGTCTACATAACTCAAAATGTTAATTACCTTTAAGTTAATTTCATAGAGGGCAGTATAGTACATCGAATTTTTGTTGAAACATAATTCTTTCTCTTCTACTTCCTTTAATTAACTTAGATTTATTATTTGCTCATGTATTTATTTGGAACAATGATATATTTTTGTGTTGTGTACCTAGCAACTTCAATGCATAATAAGTTTGTTCATTTTCGACATTTCTGCTTTTCTGTAAAGTCTTTGTGAAAATACATTTCCAGTTATTAAAATTTCTACACCAGGAAGCGGCACACCACGAACGTGAAATTTGCAGGACGGATAAAGCATGCTGTGGTGTGTAGATGATTAGCTTATCAGCGCATTCATGCAAAGCAGGCTGGTGTGGCGACACCTACAATGTGTATAAAAGAAGAGATTTGACAGTAAGTTTCTCACACAGAAATTGAATTTGAGCATTGTTCTCGGAAAAAAAGTTTTTGTTATGCCTCGTTTAAAAAGGAGAAATGTCTTCCAGCACATGTCTGAGTATGATCAAAGTCAATTGTTGCCTACCGGGATTGCGGCTTATCATACCGAAATATTGCTGCTCGCGTTGGTCGAGATGACATGACTGTTAGCAGAATATGAAATCGATTGGTTCATGACGTTCATATGGAACGCCGTGCAGGATCTCAGTGGCCCCCATATCCATCAGCCGAGAAGACAGACATGTTATCCACATGGCTTTCATACAGCTACGTCACGAACCCTGGGTTAACAAATGGGATCATTTGCAAGATAACAAGTATCTGCGGGAACAGTTCGACGACGTTTGCAGCACCATGGACTGTCAGCACGGCAACCATGGCTTCGGCTACCCTTGAAGTTGCATCACGGACAGGAGCGAATCCAATGGTGTGGTCAACGTCGAACCCTGGAAGCAAGAATGGCACGACGTCGTCTTTTCAGACAAATCCAAGTTCTGTATACAACATCATGATGGCCGCATCCGTGTTGGGCGAAATCGTAGAGAATTCCCATTGGCAGCTTGCATTCGACATCGTCATACTGGCCTATCTCCGGGAGTAATGGTATGGGGTGCCATTGGATACACGTCCCGGTCACCTCTTGTTCGCATTGCCGGCACTTTGAACAGCAGCCACTACATTTCTGATGTGTTAGGGCCAAGGCCTCCATAACGCAGGACAATGCACGACCGCATGTTGCTATTGATGTATGTGTTAATAAGAAAAAAGATTGGCATTTACATCAATAGGAAATCTGACAACAGATCAGCACTGCTAATTTAACTTTCACCTATGAAGCCCGTGCTCTTTATTATTTTTATATATATTACGATCATCGTTCCATTTTTGTTTCTTTTTTGTAGTATACTGAATAAATAGTTAGTTTAACTTAAAGATGTCATGTTCAGTAAATACTTGCATAACTCAATAATTTCTACAGGTTGTGGACTCCAGCAAGCTATTTATGCGAAGTTAAAATAATGAAATAATTGAGTTTGGCGATAGTTAAGCGGAAGTGTTAGTGCTAAGTTAATTCATATGTAGGAACATCATACGTCACATGTCTATTCATATTATTTTTATGAGAGTTGCGAATGGCAACAGATCAAAAAAAAATAATAATAAAAAAATGAGTGTTCTAAAAAATGTCTGCTGATCATCTATCCTGTAACCCTGTTGCGTACTGTTCATTTTCGACATGGCTGCTTTTCTGTAAAGTCTTTGTGAAAATACNAAACATTTCTTCATTCGCGAAAAGGTTTTAGAAGAAGAAATTAGTGTGCAGCAGATCTCAACGGAGGTGCAAACTGCAGATATATTGACGAAGCCCTTGCCTAAGCCAAGACTTTTAAAGCTATGTGAAAAGATGGGACTCTTATGAACTCTTAACATTTAAGTGTTACTTAGAAATTAGTAGTTTAGTTTTTTTTTCTTTTTAACAAGGGAAAGTATTGATGTAGATGTGTTAATAAGAAAGAAAAAACATTGGTATTTACATATTTAGGAAATCTGGGAGCACATCAGCACTACTAATTTAACTTTCACCTATGAAGCCCGTGCTCTTTATTATTTTTATATATATTACGATCGTTGTTCCATTTTTGTTTCTTTTTTGTAGTATACTGAATAAATAGTTTAACTTAAAGATGTCATGTTCAGTCAATACTTGCATAACTCAATAATTTCTACACTTTGAACAGCAGCCATTACATTTCTGATGTGTTAGGGCCAAGGCCTCCATAACGCTACGTTTCAGCAGGACAATACACGACCGCATGTTGCCCGCTCTGTCCTGACCTTCCTTGGCACAGAACATGCTCGCCTGTTGCCCTGGTCAGCACGTTCTCCCGATCTCTCACCAAATGAAAACGTCTGGTCAACGGTTGTCGAACGACTGGCACACCACCACTCGTCAGTCGCTACGATCGATGAATTTGTTATAATGCTGAAGCTGCGTAAAATGCTTTCCCCCCCTATGCTATCCAATCTCTGTTCGACTCGATATCCAGGAGAATAACAGCTGATATTGTTGCCAGGGCAGGCTTCTCTGAGTGCTGATTCCTCAGGATCTATTTATCCCAAAATCCTGAAAATTTAATCACTTGTTCTTCCAACTATAATTTATGTGCCCAATAAATATAATTCTGTTATTTGCATTCCTTCTTTGACAGGCTTGGCTTACTTGAAATAAAATGGAAAGTACAGTTGCTAACATAAACAGTCCCGCAGTGGACTGATCATTAAGACACGATTCCCAGCAGATCACCGAAGTCAAGCATCACTGGCTGCGATCAGTCTGCGTAGGGACCGAGGGTGTGCGGTATTGGTCCTCGTTAAACTGTTCTACCATAAAGTGCTCGACTTCGCGCGCAGGTCGTCCAGCTACCGAAGCAGGGGTGTCATCCCCTCTGCAGAGGATCAAAATTGTGATGGCATGTCTTCGGATCATCCTCAGGGATGTTTCCCAGACCATCGCCAATAGCCCATTGTGCAGCTCTAGTGCGACGTAAATGAACTACAACAGCTAACATAAACGGATGCCACGTTTCAACAACCAATCTGGATCGAGATATCCACACTTCGTCACTTACAGGTGTCCCCAGGACCAGATTAACCATTCACCAAATTAAACATGTACATAGGGCACCTGAGTTTAAAGGGGCACCACAAAGCACCAATGAATTTTTTTTACACATTTTAATTGGATTATAAGTTCTAACACGCATTCACGGTATTGTGATATATTTATTTCAATCCCGCGGAATCGGAAAAAAGTTGTGTATTACCAA